AAATATAACATGCAACTTTTCCTTAAATAGGAGTCAATATCTAATATTTCCTATGTAGGATCAATCATTAATTTTCTACCCCTAATCTAATTAATTAATTGCCCCCTAAGCCCTTGAATAATCAGGTCATTCTATTGGTGACATGTGGTCCATTGATTTTTTATTGATGCAAAACGTAGGCTCCTATCGATGAAGACATTCTTTCTCGAGACCCCGATGATTGTAATAAGGGTATTACGAGAAAATATTTTTAAGAGCATTGAAGTAATTCACCAAGTTTGTTGTATAATATATGATTTAACCAAACAAATTAATGTACATTCCTTTAGTCTCAACCAAACACAAATGGGTACAAATTGAATACATTCACATCAATCTAACATACCCAGCAATCTAACATTCTCATGGTATTGACATTCCTTCAATCTGAAGTAATTTTGTCTACTCATTCATGCTTTTGCTTCAATACTTGACATATTTTTTGTTTTCAATTGGGTTTTGGTTCAGGATAAAGATCTTATTTTCATACCATGTGATACAATGTTTGACTCATAAAAATAAAACATGAAATTAATCAAATTATACGGAGTTATGTAAAAGGTAATGTTTTATATTAAAATGGGAAATCGTTTGTCATTAAGGATGTTTTTACTTGGACTGTAATTTGCTGGTCTGGTCTGATCTGGTCTGGTCTGAACTGGTCTGGTCTGGTCTGGTAAGGTCTGGTTTCTTTGTATTTTTATAACTATCCAAGTCTGGTCTGAACTGGTCTGGTCTGGACTGAACTGGTCTGGTCTGGTCTGGGGCAAATTACTGTCCAAGTAAAAACATCCTAAATATCCATGAATAACGCAAATAGATATTGATGTGCTATATAAAATACTTCCTACTTTTCTGTATTCAAATGGAGCCTATGAGGGAACGTTTTTTTTACTTCAAAAAAAATAAAAAATGGAGCATCTGTAATGGTTGCTTTTAGGGACTTGCGTGCAATATAGAAGTTACTAGCGACTAGGCTACCGTTGGAGCATTGCTCTTCCTTTTGCTTGAGAAAGCTAATTAACTTAAATGAGGTACTAGCTTGAGAAAGAGAATTATTAAATATAGCATTATAAATAATAAATGAAGAGGAAATAGTTATAACTAGCCATTGGAGTATATTTCAATTTTGCTATAAATGCTTAGGTGACTAGTCAAGCTATGAAGGTAATTAGCTAATCGCTAGAGATGCACTAAGGCTAACCGCAACCCATCTCCGTCAATAAATTAAATTCCACACCAATTTATACGTATTTACTCTGTCAAGTCAGTTTTTGCTGCAATCCAGCACCGTCAATATTTTCATTCAACAAATATTTTTAAGTAAAATCCTACTTTTATTATTATACACCGAAAATTTTATAATACTTTTTTGTGAATAATTATGATTTAAAAAGTCAAACATTCCGATGTAAAATTATACTTCCTGCGTCCCTAAACAAACTTCCATTTCGCTTTTCGATAGTCAACTTAAATCACACTTAAACTCTTACTTTATATAACAAAATTTTATAAAAAAATGAATTATTTTTTGCAGGCTTTGTAGCGGATTTGATGTAATTTCTGAATATGTAAATATTATTTTCTAAAAATAATCCGAGTTTTCACAGGAATCATTTAACTTTATCGCTGGTCAAACTTCGTAACCCGCAATTGGAAGTTTAATATGGGACAGAGGTAGTATAAATTTGGAGTTTAATTTTTTCAATGTTACTTTAGACCTATTTAAAAAAAACAAATATGTAAAAAAAGTGATTAATGAGATCTTAATTTTTCAACATTGACTTTATTTGAAAAAAATTAGGTCCGAGAATTTCTAGCAAGTGAAACTTTGTATTTTTTTTATTTACTATTTATATAATATTGGTGTTATATGAAAGATCATAAAAATTATAAATTTTGGTACATTTTTTTGTAAAAAAAATGGAACACAAATAAAAATAGGAATTTTTATTTTTCTTGGGCCCACATCTTTTTTAATGCATGTTGTATTATTTGATTCAACTCTCTTCACATTTGTCCACATGTATATCAAAATACTAATCAAATGGTTTACAAGTGACCAATTTACATGTCTGATTCTGCTTCACTCGCAACTTTAACGCACTAAGGTCCATATAGGGATAAAGCTGGTCCGATTCTGGTCCCCGTGTTCTGATCAATTATGTTCCCAATTAATAAGATCAGAACTGACCCGGAAAACGAGCGGTTCAGTGCTATGTTAATTAACTTCTTGTGTTGTACTGCAGATCTTCAATCAATCATGGAAACAAATGAGTGTTTCAAGAGATGAAGCGTCGTTCTATAGTCCGTCAAAACATTGTGCCTTGGCTAAACTCTTAATCCACAACAACTGTTGAAAAACCGGCATTGACAACACTTATGGGGAACATCCATTCGTGGCTCTTCCACCATAGGAGAATGTCAAAGTCGTCCTCTTCAATATACTTAATGGGAAATCTTAGAAAAAAGAAACCTCGTAAAAAAGAAGAAGAAGCTCGTTAATCAAGCTGTGTGCACCAGCAGAAGTAATTTTTTCTCTCAAAAGATTAGATAGTGTTGATTTAAAAAGACATTTTCCTTTAGACGAAGAAGTAGCCGATTTCGGGGGAGGGGATATTTTACCATATTATGTATGAAACTCATTAAATAAATTGTGAAATAGATTACTAACATCGTTGAATTGGGCTTGAAGATCTATAAAGAAGTCCTCGTACATAGGGTAGTCACTGTAGAAACCAGTATAATAGTACTCTAAAAATGTTTGATAATTTCACAGTCTCAAACGAGGATAAAAAATAATATTTTAAAAACATTTCCTTCATGAAAGCACAAAAATAATGAACAAGAGTGGACTGGGAACATTCTTGAAAAGCACCGGCGAGATTAACATCTTCTATAAAAATTTCATTACTAGTACATTTATAAACATGAGAAAAAGTTTGAGTAGCATTATCAAAATAGACTACAACATTGCAAAATTTTTCATCGGGTCGATCTCAACCGGTTATATAATGGGTGTGGGTTATATAACCGGTTAGCGGTTGGCGGATAGTGGGTTATTTTAGCGGGTTGTCAATAGCGGATTTAGTCAGAGGGTTTGATTAGCAAAATAAATTGGTGGGTTGTTAGAAGATGTTTGGTAATTTAGCTGTTTGGCCATAACATTAGTAGAAAACGTCATTTTTCAAAACGTAAACCCAAAACTCTCCTATTAGCAGCGTTTTCATTTCAGCGTCTTCGTCCAAAAACGCTAGTGTCGAACCGCCATTTACCAAACAGCTTTTTCACTTATTGAAAACGATGAAAGTGGTCGAATCGTCATTTTTCGGCTGAAACGCCGTTTACCAAACACCCCCAATATAATTACAAGTTTATTTCATAAAAGTAGGGAAATGATTTTTAAATTATAAATTCTATTCCAACGAATAGAAAGATTTTTCTTCACTCGGGGGGGGGGGGGGGGGGGGGGGGGAGGAGGGGGGGGGCTCCCATAAAGGAGAGTGAATCGGTGACTAGCTGAGCTGAACTTCTTCCTCTTTCAACAAAAGAAAGGATCTTTAGGAAAAACACAATATTTAACACGTTTAGATTTCAAATAAGCACGTCACTACATTTTAAGTTGAGTACTACCTCAAATCATTCTAATAGTCCCCTTAACTTTCTCCATCACACTTTCTAATGCAGCTAGGCCATCTTTCACACATAAATTAATTCTGAGTAATATGACATGCACAACGTTGATGAAAAATCTACGGGAAAGTTTCCGAAATAGGACTAAAACAGCTTGAAAATTCCAAAATAGGACTGCCATGTTTTTTATTACCAAAATAGGAGAAATTACTGCCATGTTTAGAAAATACTGTCATGTTTGAAGTCTCGTACTGCCAAAACATGGCAGTAATTATTCCTATTTTGGAAATAAAAACATGGCAGTCCTATTTTGGAATTTCCAAACGTTTTTAGTCCTATTTAGGATAATTTCCCAAAATCTACCCATCAAAGTAAAAGAACCATATAATCCACGTAATCTAGGTCCAACGGCAGTATTATTAGTACCATTATCAAAACTAATAGCAAACACTTTATCAAGCAAATAATATTCGATTCAAATGTTGGAGGAATTTAATATTAATTGAATATTCATCAATCATTAAAATGTACTGTTATGGACCAATAGCAGTATGTCTTTCATTAAAATCTTGAAAAGCGATAACTCATTTATGCATTTGTCAATCATCATCAATCCAGTGTTCAGTCACACTTAAATAATACAAGTGATAATAGATTAATAGATATCTTCCCATATATCACTACAAACGGTCACACACCCATTAAAATTTGCAAAAAATTGAATTAATTTTTCTTTTTCCAAAAGATATTGTTTAATAACTTGTCTTTTAATTGTTTTGCGACTATAGTTTCTAAATTGTGGATATAAAGAACCTTGAAAATTATAATTAGACATAAATATATATAATTACAATTGATGTAGAGAGATTTAGAGAATAAGAGTAGAGGATTTAGAGAATTAAATAATAGGAGTATGACTGTATGAGAGAATAGGTGTAGAAACTTTTTTGTAATAGGAAGTATTTATAGATTTTTTTAACCCTCCACCCCCCCCCCCCCCCCCCCCCGAAAAACCACCCGTAACGGTTTTATAGCCGTTAATAGCCGTTGCAAGTTGCAAGAGTGCGACCACATAAAAATTGGTCATGGGTTAGGTAAGAGTCGAACCAGACCGGAACCCATATTTGAAATTGACCGTGTAGTTCGAGTTCTTTTTTTCTATTTTTTTTTGTAACAATAGGTTGAAAATTCCACCTTTACCCTACCCAGAACCAGCCGATCCAGAAGTCTAGGACTGGTTCCACATCACTCCTGGTTAGCTTCAATAGTTCCACAGTGCACCTGGCGCTAACCCCATCCCTACATCACTACATGCTTCTAGCTTAGCATTAGGAATTGAGGATTGAAGATATCAATTAAAATAAAGAAATAAATAAATACTAGTAATACTCCGTCAGTCCGTCGAAACATAATACATATAGAAGAATATGAGAATCAATAGATGTTTCTTGTAAGCGCAGAAAGATTCCAACAATTAGTTTTCTGTGCATTGTTTGGTGGCTCCTTTTCAGCAATCCACGTGTATATAACACACACTTTCAGGTGCCTCCGTACATCTTATTGCCATATCTAAGATTCAGCATGCTTCAGTCTTTTGCCTAATACTCCGTATGTATGCTGTCCCAATACCATCTACCAAGTTCCAAGAAAGTGGGAAACTAAAAAGCCTACCAATCTTATTTAGCTGCAACTCGCAAGTCACGAGAGCAAAATGAAAGACCGACCATTTACAGAGCTCTAGAAAAGTTTTTTTTTTTTGAAACAAGCTCTAGAAAAGTATAAAAACCATTCTATGACAGACAGTTTTTAATGAGCTGTGTTGAGTAAGAGCCTCTCAATGGCGGCAACATAGAACTCCTTGGGCATGGTACCAATGACAGAATCACACTTCTCTCCCTTGTTATTGAACAGCAGCACCACCGGAACCGCTTTGATGTCATAATTCTCAGCTATTTGCACGTCCTTGTCTGCATGGAGTACCAAGCATTTTATCCTACCCGAATAATCGGCTGCGATCTCATCAACCACCCTATGGACCATCTGGCAGGGCCCACACCAACTAGCATAAAACTCTACCAGTACAGGCGTATCGCTAGCCAAAACTAGTTTGTCCCATGACTTACCAGTCACTATTGCAGCTGTAGATCACCAGAGGAAAAAAAATCAGTGAACATAAAAACATTCTCGCCGAGCTCAGTTTCCATGCAATAGCCAAACACAATTGGTACTACTAAGATAACCTAGCACAATTCTAATCCATCAACATAGAAGAATACAAAATACAAAAGAAAGTAGCAGTAAAGGAATACAAAACATGCCTTGGCATAACAACCGTGACTCTAGAAAAATTATCCAAAGAATAACTGTGGTTCAGATAACACCAACTTCTCCCTCGGTACTTTTAACAACATTAGTATTACACCTAACCTATCCAGCCCATCCTACCATTTGACATTACCAACCGTATTACTAATCATAAACTCAAGAGTTAAGTTTTTCATGAACTCCAGTCAGGTTATATAGTGAAAGTAAACCTTTCACTAAGCCCTTTTGAAACACATTGTGCAAAGAATCAAATAGCTGCACAATTCAGGGGCTGTTTTGGTTCAAATTCTACAATGGTGATGAAATGATTTATTAGTGGTTAGTGATATGATTTTAATTAGGATGTTTTTACTTGGACTGTAATTTGCTGGTCTGATCTGGTCTGGTAATGTATGGTCTCTTTGAATTTTTATAACTATCCAAGTCTGGTCTGGTCTGATCTGGGACTGAAAATAGTCCAAGTAAAAACATCCTTAATGCGGGAGGATAGTTATTAAAGATAGATGAATGATAGAGAAGTTGGGTGCCCCATTATCGTATACTGTATACAAAGCACCGCCAATGGAAATGAGTCTATTAGCATTACTATTCACCATTTCTATCCCCCACCTGACCCTAAAACCAAGCACTTCCTCATTGTACTTCGATAATATACAAAAGTAAAATATACATCTACGGAAAGGCATATTTACAAGTTTAAAAAATGGAGACAACATTCAACTATAAGGCATTCCCCCACCAGAACCTGTTTTGAAGCAAAGGAAAGATATACTCCGTATCTAAATAAAGAACCCAGCAAGAAAGAACACCCAGCAGCTGATAAAAAGAAAATAGACCATGTGAACTCACAATGGTTAAATGTTTCCCAGTGCTTTCAATTCTGATTGAACATCACTTTAATGTTTTAATTTCTTCCATTTTCATGATCCGTGTTTCTTGATAAACGTGCACACATTGTTTCTTGTTGAAAATAAATCCTCTCAATTAGAATGAGAAATATTTTTAATCATATATGGGTGGCATGGGAAACTTGTAACAATATCCGGTCCAGTAAGAACTGATCCATGGCAATCTGGCTATGAATCCTAAGAAGAAAAGGGTATGCAACTATGCATCAACAATTTTACTAAGAAAACTAAGGCAATTTCACTTCTAAGAAAGGTGAGGCAGTAAATCCATCCAAGCAACTTAAAGACAAAGCAAGTGTCATGTCAGTAGATCTATGAGTAAAAAACATAAAACATTGCAAAAAGTTATATAATTGGCTCTGTCTTTAAGCAAAGGAGACGATAATAACTAAATGATCATTAAGGTATTCTCTGATTAAAGGAAAAGTTAGCAAGACCCATTCAAAAGAATAAATAACAGAAGATAGAAGGAACCAGTCAAAAGATTATACCACAGGTTTCGTTGCCACATTGGTGAAATACAATAAAAGTTATAATGGACATCTCGTATAAAATAATGTTCAAAAGATTTTTAAACTAGCCATGATTTTGAATAAATATTTTATAATTCTTATAATACCCTCTTCAGTTCTGTAAAAATTATTGGTGAAACCCACCCTGCACCCACGCACACTACCTAAGAGGCAACGAGTGTACGTGGTTACAGTCTTACAAAGTGGGTATCCCTAACACTTCTTGAATGAGTAGAAGCACCCATTGGGAGGCATCAGCTAGGTGCCTGTGGTCACAAGAGGGTATGCTGGAACACATTGCCAATGTCTAAACACACTAATCTACCGCCACAGCCACCCACTCAGTGATGTGTGATCATGGCCACAATATGAAACTTTCACCTACACGAAATGAAAGGCATACTGATGAGATGCATACAAATGGAAAAGTTATTTTAAAATAGTCATTCCTTCCCTCATATACAATCAAGGGGGTGTTTGGAATTGATTCTGCCTCTGCTTCTTTTTTAAAGCAGAAGCAGAATCAGAATCAGTTTTCAGAAGCTAGTACCTCCCAGCTTCTAAAAAAACTGATTCTGAGAGTAAATTAGAGCTCCAGAAGTGCTTCTGGAATTTCACCCAAACACTCCAGCTTCTGCTTCTGCTCCCTGAAGGAGCTGAATCAGTTTTGAGAATCAGATCCAAACACCCCCTAAAAAACTGATTCTAGAAGTAAATTAGAGCAACAGAATCACTTATGCACTTTCACCCAAACACCCCCTAAATGGGGTTGGAATCCACTCTTCTTATACTGATCTAAGCTTTGTCATGTAGCCTTCTGTGCCCTAATTTCTACATGTCTTCCTTTGCCACCATTCCTCTTAACCAGACAGGCTATTAAAAGCCCAAAAAGAATGGATTCAATAAGTTTAAACAGAATAACAGGCGCTTCTAGCGAAAACACGACGCATTACTCTCAAACTCGAGATGATTATTGAATCAGATCACGACATCTGCTCCTTGAAACTGTATTGTGAAATGTTCGGAACACTTATTATCATGTACATATACCTAAACACATACTCCGTATATCATTTGAAATCCACAATGAGAGTGGAATGTGCACACCGTGTCTAGAGAGAGGTCAGTTTCTAAACCTTTGGAGTCGCGTAAACAGGAGGCGCGCAAATGGGCGGCGGGTAGATATTTCAAGCGCCTCTTGAGTGGTAATGGTCCGATGTTGAGATTCACCTTCTGCTGAAAGGAGAACGGCGGAAAACGCGGAGAACGGTGGCAAAGAGGCGTCTGTTGAAATGGTGAAGATGCAGGGGTGACACAGCTCGAAGCCATTTCCACTATGATAACTGGATTATATGAAACGGCTCGATTACAGCACCAGTTCACTGCTTCCAGGTCCCGAATTCCCGAATTCCCGATTTCCACCGTCAGATTTCTCTTTACAATACACTCCGAGGTGAGGACACCGGAATAGAAAAACAGTTCCCGGTGAAACTGTAACAGAAATAAGAACGATTGGTTTTAGAATTGGGCCGCCTTAATTGGAATAGACTATTCCAGTTTGGACCGATTTTGAGTCGGACTGGTCCAGTTTTAATGTAAATAGTTAATGGTCGGTCCCTAAAGTTGGGATTATTCTGAAATAATCAATAGTTGAGATTATTATAAGCGGACCGCCAATAGTTGGGATTATTACTATCAATTTTTCCTTAAAAAAAACTATTCCGGATTGAGTTTTCAATATTGATCCTATTGTAAAAAATGTAGAATAAATTTAAACTGTTTGAATAACTTTTTGCCATAAAATGTTAACGTTTAATAAATAAGTGGTGTAAAAAAGAATACTTTATACGTGGTATAATTTAGGTGACATGTCAAAACTTCAAATAATGTATCACCAAAAAAAAAACTTCAAATAATGTTAATTATGTAAATTACCAAAATGGCATAATGATGTGGTCTGTTGGAGCATTACAGGTGATCAATGTTGGAGCAGCTGTTTTATTAGGGTGGCGGGCAGGTTAGGACACCAAGAAACCAGGGTGGAGATGCAAAAGAGAAGCAGGGACAGATCTACTATTGTCATTCAGGTGGGTCAAAATTTAGTTAAGTTTGTTTTCAAAATTATTTTGTTAGTACTAAAATAAAACTTATTTACACAAACATGATTAATAGTTACTACAATGTAGTGTCATAGTAACTTAAGTTTAAAAGTTAAATATAAGTTACTATGATTTTATTACTACTCTAATCATTCGTCATGTGTTTTAAGCAATCTTTATTTCAGCCATATATATGTAATTATTTCTTTAACTAAATACTCCGTAACGTATATATATTGCAAAAAATGTCAAAATGTAGCAAAATAGTACTAATATGTTATTTAACAAAAAAAAATCAAATATAAAATAAAATTTGTTGCAAAATAAATGTCAAAGACAAAAATAAATATAACAATAATAAGAATTTTTGTCAAATATAAAAAACACATCAAGCCCATGCATATTGAACTAATTTTCACCTACCAAGCCCAATGAATTGAAAAAAAATCAGGCTAATATTCAAAAACGTTTACAATATTAGTATCTAGCTTATTCTCCGATTGAGATTAGTGTTAAGTTTGTAGTAATTGAGCTTAGGAGACCAAATTTAAATATATGTGTGTGAAGGGAGAATTCTTTTATTCTTCAATCTTCACGTGTGGGACAAATTAAGAAATTTTAAGAGAAAATTAAAATTTCTACACAATATAGCAATATGCTCTCCCATTGAAAAGTATAAAAAAGATGTTATACATGGGCTTCGTATCCAAGACATGCAAGCTACATCCCTTCGCCATCTTCCATCTTACCAACACGATATGTATATAAAAATTGACTTTCTTTGTAATTATACATAATAGGGCTCGACAAATCGGTTTACGGTTCGGTTTTTATCGGGTTCGGTTTCAAGTTGTTCGGTTCGGTTTCAAGTTGTTCGGTTTGGCGAAAAATGTATTTCGGTTTGGTTTCGGTTCGGTTCGAGAAATTTTCGGTTCGGTTCGGTTCGGTTTGATGTTCGGTTTATAAAGTCAAAAAAATAATGTATAATTTCATATTTTTAAGTCAACATTTACTAAATTGAAATGGTTTATTTTAGGTTAAATCCCAACCAAATAAACTAAAACAAAGCAATAAAATCAAAATAGGGTTTTTTGGTGTTGTGTGCAAGCAACACATGTGGTGCAATGAGCAAAATAAATGGTTAATAAAAGTGGGTGAGGGCTTAGGAGTTTGGACAATTATGTTTCACTCCAAATCACCAAGTCACTAAACCTACAACCTCCTTAATGTATACATATAATGGACAAACACATTGTCGTATTTCACTGGTACAACCAAACTTACAATCTCCATACTGCACACACACACACACATATGTGTGTGTATCTGTGTGTGTGTTGTTCGGTGTTCGATTCAGTTTACGGTTTTTCTGTTTTAAACCAAACCAAACCAAAGTACCAAACCATTCGGTTTGAGCAAATGTTTACCAAACAGTTTACTTAAGTAAACCCCAACCAAACCAAATCAAACAACCAATTTTAATAATATATGAAAGTTTTTTTTGTGTTTCTTTAGTTCGGTTTGGTTTTGAGTTTTATCGGTTTCGGTTCGGTTCGGTTTAATACGGTTTGAAAGAAATAGTATCAAACACAAACCAAATTGCATACGGTTCGGTTTCGGTTCGGTTTAGTTCGGTTTGGTACAGTTCGGTTCGGTTAAACCAAACTGTTATGCCCACCCCTAATACATAACATAATGACACAATATATATATATATATATGTATGTATGTATTGGTATTTTTTATTTTTTTAAGTGTAGGTCTACGCCCTCCCTGGACCATAGCTAGATCTGCCCCTGAAGAGAAGGAGTCCCGGTGGGTAAAACCAAGTCTGAGTGCTCAAATTAATGTTGACGAGTCTACAGGCCTACAGATGACCGATGAAAGAGAAGAGCATGTTTATGGGTCGCTAGAGATCATAGTGGCGAACTCATCAAAGACGGTTGTGAAGCTTCTATAGCCGACTGGCCAATAAGCAGAGGCGGCTTTTGGGGGAGTTGGCCAAGGCAAATGCCTTGGGCCTCGCATCCAAACAGGGCCTCCAAAAAAATTATTAATATTAGTATTATGTACAATTATTCAATAATTGGAAACTGGGATATAGGAAAATTGTCGTCTGGTCTTAGTCCACCGTCCACGCGACCACGCATCTAGGAAGAGCGCAATTGAGTAATGAGATTATCGATTACGGGAAGGGTTGTGCTTCTTGTCCACTGCCGACGCCCGACATGTCGACAACTTCACCGTGTCGCCGTCCAGTGTTCCAAGGACTCCCAGCCCACTCATGTCCGTCAATTGAATGCCACTCCGAGACGCCGCAACAATCACCCGTTGATCTGGACGACTCTCCAACTTCTCTTTGCAGGCTCTCAGTCTCTAATTTTTCTTCTAATCTCCTTCTCTTAATATCTTACTTTGCATTACCTTCTGGATTTTTGTATTTCTATGAATAGATGGATTCACTTTCCTCTTTAGAATTTAGTAACTCAAATACGGAGTACTAAATAACATGAATGCCAGATGTGTAGATGTCTAGATAAGGTCATAAGGATTTTACCCTTTTGGCATTTGAGTCTAAATTACTAAATAACTAGAATGCCTGAATAGTAAATAGTAAATACGAGTAGTAAATACAAGTGAACTAGTGCCTGAATAGTTTAAAGAAAATGATAAAGGTGTAAAGTTAAATACTTAATATCTTAAACCTATGACTTTAAATTAAAATTTGTAAATAATTGAGTTAATATTGGTATTGTATGGATTAGGGATTAGATGATATAGGCATGAAATAATTAATTTGATGAAATTGATATTACTAAATTAGTTATTTTCTTATTGCTCGTATTTAGAAATTTTAGACTTTTGTTAATTGATTTGTATGTGAATTTTGCATCATCTATTAATACGTAGGGATATACAAAGAGAAAGAATAAGTTGAGACAACTCGTGAATCTCTCTTTCATGAACTTTCTTGCAACACTCACGTTATATCATGCAATTTGAATATGCTTTTATTCATAACGTTTTTTATTCAATTTATCTCATGCATTCTCAAAATAATTTGTGCACAGTAGATACTTTTGTGTCTAGGGCCTCCTAATTGCTCAAGCCGCCCCTGCCAATAAGGATTGCAGAGACTATTGGAGTAAAGGAAGCAATCAATTGAGCAAAGGGCCAATAATAGGACCGATCGTGTCATTATAGAGACCGATACTCAAAATGTGACAACATATCTGTAGGAAGGTCCCATAAGCTTGCTAGGGAAACATTAGATGCACTGTCACATGCGGGTAGTAGTCATTTTGATATTAGTTCGAGTTGTATTCTTGGCCATTTGGCGAATGACCATTTGAACTAATAAAAGTTACCTATTTTCACTCAAAAGAAAAAGATCATAAATATTAAGATTAGATCATTAAGATTGAGATCAAACAATAGAGAGTCAAATCAGAAAAATTCATATTACATCAGAAAAAATCAAACCAGATTATATAAAAAATCAAATTAATCACATCAGATAAGAAAAATTTAGATAAGATTACACCAAATTAAAAAAAAAAGATTCAAGTGAAGCAAAAGGAACTTCTAAAAATGGAATTTTCTATGTGGTCCCTAATTCTATATTTTTGTCAAACAAATTTTCAATCAAAATATATATGTTTAGGTGATCTCAGTGTTTCCCTCTCTAGGATGGATTTCCGTCGCTAGGGTTCGTTTCTCCGCATTCGTCTCTGACGAAGTGCGGCCATCATATGTACGAGGCTCCGATTTCAATTCTGTTTGAGAGTAGATGGTGCAGGCAGTGGTCAGTCAGGCAAACTGGTGCACGTTGGGCCTGGTTTTCGTGGTGTTCTGGTAGGGGGTTTCGTTCGTTTTCAATTGCAAGCGGAACACAAGGCGTGGGAGTTGGTCTTGGTCTGGTAATGAGGTTTTCATGGAGGATATTGTGAATTAGTACAAGCATATGGCTATTGGAGGAGAGGATGGCGAGTTGAATTTTGACCACGAGGGATCTGAAGAGGTTGAAGCGGACGAGAAGAGATCGAGCGCTATTCCCGGTGGTTGGCATCATTCTCACCGACAGGAAAATCAAGTTTCAGGTCTTTAAGGAACTGATGGCTTCTCTGTGGCGTCCTGACAAAGGTGTGTCTATCAAAGAAATAGGCGATAAAACGTACCTCTTTACTTTTTATCATATTGTGGATATGAAACGTGTTTTAAAGGATGGTCCATGGCTGTTTGAAAGGTATTTGTAGCTTCTTAAGGAAGTAAGGTCAGGAATGAAGCAAAATTTTGGGTATCATAACATACCATGTGGTTTCATGAACTTAGGAACTGCTAGGAGGGTGAGCAATTATATAGGTAAGTTTATTAGCTTTGATGAAAGCTAGTTTGAAGAAAAATGGGAAACTTATATGAGAAGTAGAGTATGCATGGATGTTGGAAAGCCTCTCAAAAAAGGATCAACCCTTAAGAAAGAAGGTATTGGGTACTGGGTAAATTTCAAATATGAAAAGCTACCTAACTTTTTCTTTATATGTGGGGTGACTGGTTATTCTGATAAAATTTGTCCCTTGAAATATGAGGACGACATAGTATTGGAGAAAACTTTTGGGTGGAGCTTAGAACTGATGAAGGGGGAAGACTAGTCCTACAAGAGGAAATAAGTGGATGTTGAAAGATCCTCAAGTTCAGGGGCGGGGATGCAACAGAGGAAAGAGGGTTAGGAAGGCGAAGGCAGGGAGGACAGGGATGGAGAGAGTCCACAACGGGCACATGTAATAGCATGACTAAGGAAGGGGACATGGGTAACACTGAGGAGGTGTCGGGTGGTCAGAAACACATGAGGATTTAGGAGGAGCAAGCACAAGAGGACCTAATGGGTGATAATATGACACTAGACAGATAAAAAACGTGGATACGGCGGGTCCTGGTATCTAGACCAGCCAAAAGTACAGTTGGTGGTTATGCTCTCGAGGACGGACCAAGACTTTTATTTTATACCGCTTTTCTATTTTTTAATTTGCATGATCAGACTGTTTATTTCTCTCATTGTTCTTTTTTTGCTATAAGATTTTTGCATTAAGATTGAGTTACATGAAGTCTGCTATAACCATTTTTTACTTAGTTGTGCCCATTACAGGATTAACGAGTTACGAGTTACACTGTTTCTTCAAAGGTGATTAATTTTAAGTCTGGTTCGAGAGTTGATGGTTTGTGATCCTTTTATTGTTTGAACCTCTGAATGCTATGATATCAAAATAAACTCCCCTTCCAAAAAATCCAGCCCCTAATCCCGAGTGAATGGTTTTTTAGCTTGACTTTCACTCCTTTATTTTCATTCTCACCTGACAGGGCTGACCCCTTAATCCACGGCTCATCAAATCCAGAATACGTCTGACTTTTCGAACAGATCAAGCTTTCCCCTTCCTCTTTTCCCTCCTACCCGATGGTTGTCGTCGACGAATAAAGACCCCGAGAAACACATAGTAATAATACAAAACCATGGCCTCAGCTCTGCCATCTCAAAGGCTTCCGAAAACGGAAGATGGGCCCTCTTCGATAGGGTCACCGTCGTATTCCAATAGTCCAAAGAAGAGGTGGTTCAATTTGCTGCCATTGTTCGTAGCCCTGGTGGTTATAGCTGAGATCGCCTTCTTGGGTCGACTCGACATGGCCAAGAATGTTGACCTGGTCAACTCATGGGCTGACTCCTTTTACCAGTTCACTGGCTCGTCTTGGCCATATGTCTCCAATGCCGACGATATTACCTCCGGCGGAGGTGAGGCGACTAGGGTTTCGGATGAGCTGGACTCTTTCACCGGATTGGAGAGCTGCGAGGAATGGTTGGAGAGTGAAGACACCGTTGCTTATTCTAGGGATTTTGAAAAAGACCCAATTTTGGTACATGGTGGGCAACAGGTTGGGTCCACATGCATGAAACCACATCAGTGGCTGTTTGTATCTCTATTTCCATTCGATTTTATGCTTAAATGCCATCAAAATTCCTATTCTTTACTGTGTAGGAATGGGAATCCTGTGCTGTTGGGTGTAAATTTGGGGCTTCCTCCGGCAAAAAGCCTGATGCTGCATTTGGGTCTACCCAATCAGGTGGGACAGCTGGAGTGCTTCGGTCAATGGAGTCCGCAGAGTACTATTCTGAGAACAACATTGCTCAGGCAAGACGGTGGGTAAGCACACAGTTGAAGGACTCATAGTACTACAGATTATTGAGTTAAAGCTTTTGTGCCCATAGGTCCATAATCAATAAAGTCTCTGCTCTTTGTTTGGTTTTTCGGAACTTCTTTTTAAACTATTGCTTAGATTGAGAGCTTTTTGCTCTTTGACATAAGGAACACACATTTTTTGAGAGCATTAATGATATACGGCTAGATATTTGTCACCTCGTAATGTTAACTAATTTTAGAAGGTAATTATTACTATAGTTAATGACTCCATACCCAACATTGTAGGGGTCATGGTGGTTAAACTCATCTAAAAAACTATAGTGGCACTAAAAACAGAATTATAGAAACAAAGAATGCTTCTTATTGCCTTCACGATTTCAGAACCAACACAATATCCATTGACCTATCATTCCTACCACTTCTGGCAAGAAAGGGCTTTCAGAGTTGACATAAGCTCTTCATTAGCTTTTGAAGATGTCAATTAAGATCAACTCCATTGTGAATAAATATGTCTGTTTTCACTTTAACTTCTATGCAATATACAGCTTGATAGATAGATTTTATTATCACACATTTTGATAATATGCAACTTTTTATATATTAAGAGTTAAGAAGTTTAAAGGTCTACTCAAGTACTGAAGTAATTGCTCTATTAACCTCTTTTTACCAGGAAGTGTCTAAAGTAACTAACATTTAAAACTGTATGGTTTATTAGGAGGGGATATGATGTTGTGATGACTACAAGTCTTTCTTCAGATGTTCCTGTTGGGTATTTTTCATGGGCTGAGTATGACATTATGGCACCAATCCAACCTAAGACACAGAAAGCTATCGCTGCAGCATTCATATCTAACTGTGGTGCTCGTAACTTTCGGTTGCAAGCTCTTGAAGCACTTGAAAGAGAAAGCATCAGCATAGATTCATATGGTAGTTGTCACCGGAACAAGAATGGTGATGGTCAGTACTCCCTTTCTCTCATTATCCTTGTCATTATTTTCTTTTTAATCCGTTCCATAAAGAATTTCCAATTCTGTCATTTGAATGCCCAAACCATTTACTTTACCTCTTTACCCATACTTGTTACCACCTTTCAACTTTTTGAAATTTTTTGACTAAGTAATCCTAATTTGAGTGCAATTTTTTTGTAAAGTACTTTAACTGTTTACACGTTTTCTTTAATCCGTACTAATACTCTAAAAGTACTGGTATCTCTTATGTGTTCGGGCGACAGACTTGGTGTATATTTCAATAACCATAAATTTATGCAATTGTATGTAATAAAAATAATTTGATGGTCATAGAGTAGGAAATTGGACTGTCAGTGCAAATTCGTCATTTTACTTGATGCGAAAGAACAATCAGGTAGGCTAATGGCTAACTTTTTGCTCTAAATTTCCTCTTTGCAGTGAAGAAAGTAGATACTTTGAGGCACTACAAATTCAGTTTGGCCTTTGAAAATTCCAATGAGGAGGATTATGTTACTGAAAAATTCTTCCAATCTCTTGTAGCTGGTATTGCCTCTTTTTTATTCCCTAATCTAAAAATGCACACCCCTTGCGCCGTCTAATTTCTCTCTGTATTTCCCTTCTCTCCATGTACTCAGAGGCTCTGATATGGAGTATTAGATATACTGATATTTCTATTCAATAATGATTTTTTTTGTGACCGATCTTGAAATTATCAACTGAAAGGTTGAAACTTTAGAAATTTAACTTCTTCAAAATACAGCATAAAAGCTAAATGGTGTGAGGATTACTTTTGTTTGAGGTCCATACTATGTATATGTACTAGCTTGTTATTATTTTATAGAAATAATGTATGGCCTTATATGTGTGTCTGAAAAAATTATATGTGTACACCAACAAATTTAACCCGTGGACCACATCTTCTCCAATTTGAGTTTGAATCTCAGCTTGATTTGATTCAAGAACATATTGAACCCCCCTGTTATGAATGATTTGGGGGCTGTGAACTGCTGATGAGGCAGAACCAATTAGTTACCAATTACAACCCCGTGAACTTGCAAATCTCTTATTTGACAGTAGAAACATAGGCCTACTTCTACGCAAAATATGTCATATGACCCCTTGGGTTAGTGCTAGGACATGATATAAAACATCCATATTGCCACTCTTAAGAAATACAGTGTTTCACTAAAGTATTTTGGTACAAAAATATATTTGACTGCCTGAATCGGATATTTTCATTTAAACAATAACATATCATAACATGTTCTAGAAGTCTATGGTGTTTTTGGAGTAAGTTATTGGTTATTCTCAAATATTATTTCAAGAATTACTTGCATAGCTAAAACAATCCTAAAAATGTGAATACTAGTTTGTTAAGAATGAACCGAATTGAAGGAACTGAAATATCTAATAGCTTGGGGTCACATTTTTTATTGATTAAAAACTGTTGTAATTCCTCAAGTTGTACGTTCTTGTGAGGCCATATATTCTTTGTGCTGATCAATTATGATAACAATGCCAGGTTTAAAGCATACTCCCCATAATGTTTAGGTTGGGTTCATCTTGTTTAAGATTAGTTATGCATGATTTTATCCAAATTTAGGTGGTGCTGAATGAAGACTCATTTTTGTCTGCTTGAAAAGCATTCGGATGTGAATTTTAACATATAAAATATAAACTTTTAGGATCTGTTCCTGTTGTGGTTGGTGCTCCAAATATCCAAGATTTTGCTCCTTGTCCTGGTTCTCTTTTACATATAAAGAAGCTTGAAGATGTTGAGTCAGTGGCCAAGACGATGAAGCACCTTGCTGAAAATCCAAGTGCATACAATCAGACCCTAAGGTGAGGATAAATACTGTTTATTTTTTAATGGCAATTATGAGACCATAGGCTGACTGCAAATATTTTCTTCAATCTTCATTTTATTGTGTTCTATTTTTCTCAATGCTCATTTTTATCATTCAAATATTGTTTTTTTTTTGGCATCATGCTTTAATGTTTGTTAGGTGGAAATTTGAGGGTCCGTCTGATTCTTTCAAAGCCCTAGTTGACATGTCAGCAGTTCATTCATCTTGCCGGTTGTGCATTCACTTGGCAACAAGTATCTATGAGAGAGAGGAGAAAAGTACAAACTTCACAAAACGTCCGTGCAAATGTTTGAGGGGTTCAGAAACTGTCTATCATGTATATGTACGTGAAAGAGGACGGTTTAATATGGAGTCTATTTTCTTGAGGTATATTGGAAACTATTATGTTCATTGCCCTGATTTATATTTCATATACTACGTACATATATACTTGATGTTCTTATTGTTGCTTCGTGAGAATGACCTTTTAATTATGCTGTCAACATGCCGCATTGTACTCCTGTTTTATTTTGCCAAAAAGCCATGTTTTACCTTGTATTCCCTGTAGCCCAAAAAACGACCCTGATTGAAAAGTTTTTTTTCGTCCTCAAAAAAGTTATATTTCATTCATTGGAGTTATTTTTATGGTAATTTGCTAAAAGAATTTGCAAACAAGTTTGATATGATAAATATAGGTAAATGAAAGAAAAAATTATATGGCAAGTACAATTTCATGACTTTTAAGAGTTGCACCTTCTCATCACTTTTATGGCAATAATGTACATCTTAAAGTTCACATTTGATTGATGCATGTGGTGTAGGTATTCTTTAGCGTTTATTTTTTCCTCTGGGATCTTCCCAAATTTTGGTGGTGTCAAGTTTCAAATACCAGATCACCAGCTATTTTTGATAGGTCAACTAATTTAACAATGGAGGCCTTCAAATCGGCTGTGTTAAAGAAGTTCCAGTCTCTGAAGCATGTTCCCATTTGGAAACAAGAAAGGCCCCCGGTTCTGCGGGGAGGAGACGAACTCAGCGTGTACCGCATATATCCTCTTGGATTGACTCAGAGACAGGCGCTCTATACATTCAGATTTAATGGGGATAGTGAGTTAAGGAAGCATATAGAAAGCAACTCTTGTGCAAAGTTCGAAGTCATATTTGTATAATAAGATAAACTTCTAATTTTCATGTCATGTGACCAGTGACCTGATTAACTTTTAGATCAGTGTACTAGTGTAGGCTATAAATTTTGTAACCGGTTATTGACTTTATTAAGGTTGAGCCATCATGGGATCCTTTTGCTTTTTTTCTTACACGAATATCAGGTTTATGTAATGAAGTTGTTTATGATAGACATAGACCTCAAATCTTAATCCAGATATGCTTTTCCCTACTTTGAATTATAATATAATTTGCATTTCTGATTTCATACTGTCGCCACATGAAAGTATGAAACTCTCCCGCCTAATTCTTCCCAAAAACCATCAGCAGTCATAATCCCAAGGAATAATGAGGTTTTTTGAAATCGTTAGACAATTGAAGATAAGTTTATACAAGGAATTTCTATGGATTCTCAACTTTGTTGGTTTCCCAAGATATGTTCAGAAATCAGCAACTTTTGTCAATGATTTTAAATAAGATTACTCAAAACTTTAAATCCGTTATCAGGCTATCCGCTATCAGCATGGATAATAGGGGAGTTGATGTCGGTTGTGAATTGTCATGGACTCATTCAAACTTTTCATTATAGTGAATATAAGAATATATTTATAGTCACTTTAATAATAATTTCCATTCATGAATTTAATTACCGTTATGGTGAGAGTGTTGATAATGATAATATAATAACAAGAATTACAACAACAACAATACTAATGTTGAAATAGTGGGTTTTCTTTCCGCACCAAGTACTAGGTGCGAGAAGAAAATGTAATTGACTCTTTGGTAATCCGCTACGAAGAACAAGCGTCCCACACCGGAATTGCAGCCACATTCCATAACAGCAGCCCAGTTCTTCTATAAATAAAGAGGAGCTTCATCCATAACGGCTCGCTGTATTCGCTATAGCTAGTCATGGACCCGGGCCGGGTCCGGCCGGGCTTTTTTTGGGAAGGAAGGCTCGGGACTGGCCCGGGTAGCCACCGGGGTTCGAGCCGGGCCTCCGGTTTGGTTTTTTTTTTTTTTTTTTTTTTTTTTTTTGCTTTCCTAACCCCCACCCCCCCCATCCCCCTCCTAACCATCAAGCCCAACCCGGGTGTATCCCAAAAAATGAAAAAAAAAATCAATTAGGCCCGGACTCGGACCCGACCCGGCCGGGCCGGTTTGCCAAATACAAGGCCCGAGCCCGGACCCGCCCCCACCGGGCCTAGGCCGGACCCGGACCCGAGAACTAGGCCGTTTCTGGTCCCGCACAGTAGCGGGCCGGTCCCGGGCCGGGCGGCCCGAACCGGATCCATGACTAACTATAGCTTCTTCGAAGCGGTTGCAAAAGGCGGGTGTGAAAAGGCGCATGATGGGTATGAGGAGCTGTAATTATAGACGCCTCACGCCTAGACCCGTTTAGGCAGCGCCTTTTGACGCATTTTAAAACACTGTTTGAGGTGATTCTCCATTATTATGATAATAGATTATAATTCTATTAAAGAAAATTGATGTAGTATGTTATTAGTATAGATATACTCCGTAATATGTATTTCGATAATGAATACACTTGGTTGGAAATGCATATATTTCCAAATAGTTTTAATCAAAACAACTATTGGGCACGGCGGCTTACGCGCTCGTTTACTCTTCAAGTGTATTGTGTTTGTGATCACGAACTATTGATTTTCATTTGTCTTAGTCTTTCACTGCCTTTTCTTTGATCGTTTGCTTTCTACTTTCATGAGCTTTTGTAATCTATTACTTCGTAATTTTAATAAAACCTGTTTTTTCAAAAATAAAAAACAATTCATTTTCATTTTAATATAGGTGAATTCTATGGTACCCATAAGGTACCATACATTTGTCCACATGGACCAATAAGAATGTAGCAGTTGAATTATTTAAATCTAAATTAAAAATGATAAAATGATGTGATCCAATCAAATGAATGGTAAGTACGGTACCCATTTTTTAGAAGGGTATAGGAGTTGTCACTATCTATGAAGGAAAAGTCAGTTGTGCATATAAACGCACATAACACGTGGAACATCTTGAAGAGGCACTAGTCCTGCAAAAGAACTAGAACAATAATCCTCAAGAGCCAAGGACAAGATAAACATACGTACCTTTTGCTTCAACGAAAGGTCGCTGCCGCCTGCTGTCATGGCCTTCAAAATGGCCCCTCGCTCTGGTCCCTCTCTGCATTTCACGGCCGCCACCGCCGCCGCCACCACCGAGCGTTCGAACTTATCTCCCTATAATTCTCCTACATGGCATTTATCTCTGCCAACTTCGTAGAACCATCTTTATCAAACTCTAAAAAGTTCATTAACCTGTCCAAGCCTCCTAGGCTGCACGCGCCTCCGCCACATGCAGCGGCACCACAGGCTTCCGGATCCGCAGGGGTTGATTCTGCAAGGCTAGAGCCCAGGGTGGAGGAAAAAGATGGTTACTTTGTACTGAAGGAGAAGTTCAGGCAGGGCATAAATCATGCAGAGAAGGTTAAGATTGAGAAAGAGCCAATGAAATTGTTCATGGAAAAGGGAGTTGAAGAGCTTGCAAAGATGCCTTTTGAAGCCATTGAACAGTCAAAGCTCACTAAGGATGATGTTGACTCTAGGCTCAAATGGCTTGGCCTCTTCCACAGGAGAAAACATCAATGTATGTTTTGCTATATATCTTTTATGTTTTCTATGTCAATAGTTTCTTTCTCTTTCTTTTTGTCAAAGTACAAACTTACTGTGTTAGAAACAGTCCTCTCAACTTAGGAAGATAATTCAAGATGATATAAGTCAGTTTATACCTATGTTACATGGAAACGCGCGAAAGTCATGATGAAATGGGAAACGGGAAACGTCATTGCCTCAAAAATGCTTATTTGGAGAGTTTCCAAAGAGTTTCTGAAACAAAAACGCACTCTTTCCCATAGTTTCTGTGCTACATAGGTTTATACTCTTATATTTAGCGAGTATGGATTGACTTAACACTGATAGGAGGAGCTATCAGTTATATATGGTCTTCTTAGTGAGATATTTATATTGACCAGCATGGGAAATCTTAACACAGTCAATTAGCTAATTACTTAGCTCAACCATGCATCTCCTTTTAATATTGGGGCAATTAATTCAAATTCGCAAACACCCGAAACTTCAATGTATGAAGTAGATATTGTGAGCTTTAAATTTCAAGTGATCTTGGCACAGTGGACATGGTTTTTTTTCTATCACAAGTGTAAGTTCAAGATGCTAAGTGCAAACAGTTTATCTCCAAACATTTTGGGGTGAGCACTAAGTATCCTAAACTTACATTTGTCATCCTAAGTTTACATATCTTAAATAGACAATCCTCGTCAATGATGTTGAGATCAACTGTAATATAAAGTTCATTATATTTATTCACACAGTGAAATTTGAGTGCTAAACTCATATATCCTCTTAGTTTCAGGTATTTGAAATAGTTGTTCATTTAATATTTCAAACTGAAACTCTTATTATACTTGAGTTTGAATATATGTATTATAATTTGAATGTGAAAATAGATGGACGGTTTATGATGAGACTGAAGCTACCAAACGGGGTTACAACTAGTGCCCAAACAAGATACTTAGCAAGTGTTATTAGAAAGTATGGGAAAGAGGGGTGTGCCGATGTCACAACGAGGCAGAATTGGCAGATTAGGGGTGTTGTGCTGCCTGATGTGCCAGAGATTCTTAAGGGACTCGAAGACGTTGGCTTGACAAGTTTGCAGAGCGGGATGGACAATGTCAGGAATCCAGTTGGGAACCCTGTTGCTGGTATTGATCCCGAAGAAATCGTAGACACGAGACCTTACAACAACGTTCTCTCCCATTTTATCACTGCTAATGCGCGTGGCAATCCTGCTTTCACTAACCTGTGAGACCAACATATTTTAGTACCTTTGTGTTTGAGACATTATAGTACATTATTCTTAAATCTTAATAGATTGGATCATCATTTAAGACAGTAATCGGATTGAATTTTTTGTTGAGTTCAAGGTCACAGAAGCCTGTAAGTGTTGCTTTTATTTGGGCTTACTATACCTGACACTATTGACTATCTAGTTTTTTAGTATTACAAGTTAGCCCCTTGATCAACCAGTGTTTTAGCTCACACACTTTTAACACTGAAAGTTTATAAAGGATAATGTTATTAACCAGAATTGTGTTGTGTGATTTTATTGAACTTCGTGTTACTAATGCACTTAATAGTTAATAGGTTAAAATATTTTAAACTTCGGTTAAAAATAAAAAGAAAAGGGAATTAAATTACCTTAAAGATTACTTAAGGTAATCATAAGAAATCTCCAGGGCCATTTAATAATTTGATCAAACCTTTAGCGAGATAAATGTAATTAAATCTTGTATATTTATAAGTACTCAGATATGAGATTTATTCTTTGACATTCTGTGCAGGCCAAGGAAATGGAACGTTTGTGTAGTGGGTTCACATGATTTGTATGAGCATCCCCACATCAATGATCTTGCATACATGCCTGCCATTAAGGACGGGCAGTTTGGTTTTAACCTGCTTGTGGGTGGGTTTTTTAGCCCGAAACGGTGTGCGGAAGCAATCCCTTTGGATGCTTGGGTTTCTGCAGACGATATTCTCCCGATTTGTAGGGCTGTACTCGAAACTTTTCGGGACCTTGGCTCTAGAGGGAACAGACAGAAAACAAGAATGATGTGGTTAATTGATGAACTTGTAAGTTTTCTCATTTTTTTTTAATTTTCTTCTGCTAAGGATAAAATTCATACTTGTATAGGGGTAGCCTAAAAATCATAGGAGGCTACTTTAATAAATATTAAGTGTATCGATTTTGATGTTTACCAAATTTATATCTAAGTGTGATACCAAGTTAAGACTTGAGACGTAGCTTAGGATCTTATATCTGTGAGTTTATCTTTTTAGTTGGCCTAAGTTGACTTAACATAGCTATTAACGTTGCTATTCGAACCCGAGGTTTTATAAACTCATATAGATCTTTTTTATGTTCCTACAGGGGGCTCATAAGTCATAAGGTCTACCTGATCTTTTTTAATATAACTAATTGGTCACTTTGGTTAATCTATTTGAGAAGATGGGCTTAACTACACACATTTCAAAATGCAGGGAGTTGAGGGGTTTAGAGCAGAGGTTGTGAAGAGGATGCCACGGCAAGACCTGGAGAGGGCTGCTGCACAAGATTTGATTAAGAAAAACTGGGAGAGAAGAGAATATATGGGAGTCCATCCACAGAAGCAGAAAGGCTATAGCTTTGTTGGGCTCCACATCCCGGTGGGACGGGTTCAAGCAGACGAAATGGATGAGCTTGCCCGTTTATCCGATGACTACGGGTCAGGCGAACTACGGCTCACTGTCGAACAAAACATCATAATCCCAAACATTGAGAACTCCAAGATTAAGGCACTGCTTAAAGAACCTCTTCTTCACAGCAACAGATTCTCACCCGATCCTCCTATTCTGATGAAAGGGTTGGTGGCTTGCACCGGGAGCCAGTTTTGCGGGCAAGCCATAATAGAGACCAAAGGGCGGGCCGTGAAGATAACCCAGGAGGTTGAGGAACAAGTCTCGGTCACCCGGCCTGTTCGGATGCATTGGACGGGCTGCCCAAACAGCTGTGGGCAAGTTCAAGTTGCGGATATTGGATTCATGGGATGCATGACGAGAAATAAGGAGGGGAAGAGCGTGGAGGGTGTGGATGTTTACTTGGGAGGGAGAATTGGGAGTGAGTCACATTTGGGAGATGTGTATAAGAAGGGTGTTCCCTGTGAAGATTTAGTGCCTTTAATTGTTGATCTTTTAGTAGAGCACTTTGGTGCTGTTAGAAGGGAGAGGGAGGATGATGAACCTTAATTCATTACATCTACTACAATATAAAAGCAAAATCTATGAAAACACTGTTTTTTCAACAGTGTTCCCGCCCAGAAGAGTCTGATCAGTTATATTACATAAATAACCCTGTAAAAGTTAATTTCTAAAGGGTAAAATTGCACTAAGAGATTATCATTACATTGTGAACAGTTGAGCCGTAAAAACAGACATTACAGCTGTAAAAAATTGATATTACAGCCTCTTCTTAGTTACTGTTTGCTGATGGAATAGGCATCTCCATCCGAATTTGGTGGCTGGGCATGCTTTTTCTGAAATTAAAGCAAACTGATATCATTATAATTGTAAATATTTTGTTGGATGGTGTATTGCTCTAATAGTTTTATAAAATGATAAAAGGATAAGTGTTTGACAGCTCATTGGAACCATTTTCGTAAAAATAAATAAACATGAATATATGTTTGCATAGTGAATAGGCAATGGCATGCCAGGTTGCTATAAATACCCATGTCATCCATCACTTTTTACTATCCTTCATTGAGTTCCTCCTAAATACTTAATTGCTCAAAATGGTTGGCATGTGGTCTTTAATAAACCAGTTTGGCCAAGACAAAACATCTTGGACTGTCAAAGTAAGAGCGGTTCGGGTATATGCAACCCCAGCCTATGGGATTCATGGTGAATCCTTGCACTGCATTTTCCATGACTCCGAGGTTAGTTGTTTTCTTTTCAGTTTGATGTGTAAAAGTTGTAGTGATTCTATGAACTAACATGTGTCTACACAGGGAACAAAAATACATGCACACATTGTGAAAGCCCAGGTTCCAAAGTTTGAGCCATTGTTCAAGGAAGGAAAAGTGTATGCAATTAGAAATTTCCTGGTCCAAGACAACTATATGAATTTCAAGACAACGAGGAATGCTTATAAGTTGTTGTTCCTCAATAAAACTGAAGCATTTGAGATTTCAAAAATCAATTTCCCAATGAGGATGTTTGACTTTACATCAATTGCTGCCTTGCAAGCCGCCGAAGAGGTTGATGACAGCCACGCGATAGGTAAATTTTCATTAAAAATTGTTTTCTGTTAAATATTTGTTGTAAGGAAAAGTCATTATGAAAATTTCTATCGCTTATAGATGTCATCGGCAAGGTAACATCAATGTCACACCCTAAGGCACTAACAAAGCTCGGTAGGCAAACTCAGTTGGTGGATCTCACCCTTGGTGATGCTCAGTAAGTATTTTTAACTTAAGGTTTCATACTGCTGTACTATTAAATGCTCAAACTTATCTAATGTTATGATGTAGTGGGAATACGATTACTTGCACTTTATGGGAGGACTTGGTGGACCAGTTGATAGATTTTCTGAAAACAAAACCTAAAAAGATCTTTCTAATTCTTCAACTATGCCGTGCAAGGAAATTTCAGGGTATGTGTTCATAGCTATATGATTCCTATATCACATTCTTAGAGCGCATGTATGCAGTTTGTATATTTACACTTGACAGTTTAAATTTTTTAGGTCGTGTGGGTGTAACAAACATGTTCAACATGTCAAAGATGCTGCTGAACAGTGACAGCAAGGAGAGTGTGGAGTTTATAGCGTCGTAAGTATTTCATAAAGAATTGAAACTAAAAATTAATGTTTGTAATGTAATCAACTCATCACAAAAATGATATAGGTTTGGGCCTGATAATGATGATGATGGGGATGATCTAGCCTTGGGCAGTTTTGTTACTCCTACCCTTCAAGATGATCTAGAAAGCGGTGAAGTTAACTTGGTTTCTGTTGATGATCTAATGAAAATGAAAGAGGTGAGGTTTAACATATGCAATTGATTATAAAACAATGAATGTAATTTGATTGGTACAAATTGATAACATTTTGGGATGTATTTTGTTCATAGGATGGCAAGCATTGGGTCTGTGGAGAGATATTGGCAATAGACAGTTACCGAGATTGGTACTATATTTCTTGCAAGGGGTGTAGTAGAAAAGTGAAATCTGAAGGTGATAGTTTCAGGTGTGGAGCGTGCAACACTACAGAAGTTGTTCTGAGGTTAGAAATGTTTTTCATATTTGGATTTTTTAAAGTGCCAGAATACAGACCTACACTAATGTTTGTGATTTTTGTGAGTTTTCAGGTACAAGGTCAATGTGAGGGTGATGGATGAAACCGGTCATGCTTCCTTTGTATTTTGGGACAAAGAATGCACTGCTTTGGTAGGAAAGACAGCAAATACTCTTCGTGAAGAGATTGAAAAGGTTTTTATAAGATATGTTTTAATGTTTAATGTTGAGATAGGTATGAGGAATGTACAAAGTTTAATATATATAAGTTCGTGGAATATACAGAAAGGTGCTGGACTTTACTATTTTCCAGTTGAAATTGATGCATTGGTTGGAATTGAGGGGTTGTTTCGAGTTCAAACAAAGAGTGAAACTATAAGCTACAGGGGTGTGCCAACGTTTAGTGTAATTGGGATGAATTGTGATCCTGCCGTTGTGGGTTTGTACAAGAGCAAGAATAAAGGAAAAGCAGTGGAGGATGAAGATGATTTCGCGTTGCTCAAAAAGGAGTTTTCCGTGACTGAGGAAGTATGTGTGATATGCCTTATAATTTGTGACTTGATGTTTGGGTTGACTATTTGATAATTACTACCCCTATTAAATTTAGAATACTTCTGTGACTAAAGTCTTTTAAATTTGGCAGGTCATCCCACTTGAAGAGGAGACAAGTCCCCTGCTGACCAAGGGACAAAGGAAAGCACTACAGATAAACAATGATGGCATCAAGAGGAAGCTGTTTGATGAGTCCTCATTTATCCATCCTGTGAAGAGGTTGCGGAAAGTGAAGGTGGAAAAGCAGTAGGAGTCGCAAAATTACTATGTTTTTGGCAACTAAAGTACACTATGTATATGTATCAGTTGTGTGTTTTCGGTGTTTTCATGGACCTCTATATATTTTTTGTGCCTGTAATATCTTAGGAAAAAAGATCAGGTTATGATACAAACTTTTGATGCGGATTACTTGCTAGGTAGTCCATTTTGATCTTATGTTTGTAAGGAATGGCATTTGCCAAGTGTTATGTAACCTATTCTTAATCTAATGCAATCATGTTGTGTTCCAATTTCCAGTTATGTTAATTTGTTGTAGAACATTACATTTAAGCCTGCAAAAAACTCTACCCTACCTCAACCACTGTTGATTTAAATACATAATAGACTCACTAGATCGAAAATGGAAAATATGTCTTACTAAAACTGAAAAACCCAAATTGAATAAATATTAGATAACTATAAATATCAAAAAATTTGTCTCTGTAGTTAAATATAAATATCCATATTTTGAGTCTGTATGGTTAAATATTAGTGGCCACCTCATAAAAAAAAATTAAGAAGTCATGATCAGTAAAAGCAGAAAATAGTTTAGACAAATGGATACAAGGTAAATAACTATATGTAAATAAATACATGTAATGAATAATATAAGGTAAATATATATGTAATATGCAATATAAGAACCATATAGACTACCGAAATTGTTTTTATGCGGTATATCATCTGCCATATTAAATAACAAATCAAATTGAAATTGAAGCTCATGTTTTAAATGTAAATATATATTTTTAAATTTATATTTTAGATAATAAATAATAAAATAATGTTTTAAAATAAACTAAATGTTGTGGATAATATTAATATTGTGGATAATATTAATTGGAAAAAATATAATTGTGATGAATCAGTGAGTATACTTTAATATGGTTATTATTATTGAATATAATTTACACATTAAAATATAATTGGAAAATAAATATTTTAGGTAATATATTTAGATAATAAATACTCCGTAATAAATAATAAAATAATGCAAAAAAAAAACAAATGGAAATTGTATTGTACTAAGTATTTGTAAATTGGAAATAACCATAAACAACTATGTGATTTAGATTTTTATGTTTTAAGAACTATACGTATTTTTGAAGCTCAGGTTTTAAATGTAAATCTATATTTTTAAATTTATATATTTGGATTATGAATAATAAATAATATAATCATAAAATAATGTTTCAAAAAAACATTGTGGATAATATTAATTGGGAAAAAATATAAATGTGATGAATCAGTGAGTATACTTGAATATAGTTAGTATTATTGAATATAATTTAAATAATAATTGGAAAATAAACATTTAAATAAATATTATAGATACTATTTTTAGATAATAAATTGTAAAAAAAGACGAAAAAAAAAACAGATTGAAAACTAATGGAAATGTATTGTGATGAATCTGCAAGCGTACTGTACTAAGTATTTATGAATTGGAAATTACGATAAGCAACTATGAGATTTAGGTTTTTATGTTTTAAGAACTATACGTATTTTTGAATCTCGGGTTTTAAATGTAAATATATATTTTTAAATTTAAAATTTTCAAAAATAGGTAGATAATTTAGAAATGAAGTAGGAAATAATGATTGATAGGTACATAATTATTCAAGGTGTTGGATACCTATACCGTGAATAATAGTTATTCAATAGGTACTCGGTATATGGTTTAAAAAAAGAAGACATAAGTATGGAAAACGTTTTAATATGGGTCATATGCAATATCAAATTTTAAGCAAATAAATATAAGAAAGTAGGAATTATCTTGCCTCAAAAAGTGGTCATAATGATGGTTTATTACCTCAGAAAGAGTTGAAGATAGACTATCAAAATTTATTTTATAAGGTATATCATCTGCCTTCTCAAATGATAAATCAAATTGAAATTGAATCTTAGGTTTTAAATGTAAATATATAAGGATTATTTCACAATTTATATTTATAAATAATAAATAATGTGGAGATAAAATAATGTTTTGATTTATATTTATTTCATGATAATATTTATCATACAAAATTACGAAAAATTGTACTCTGTATGAACCACACCATTTATAATTATTCAGTACTACTATTGATAAGTAGCCTTGATTATCACAGAGTCCAGAAAACAAAAAGTAGCCGTATTGCAGGTATGGAGTAACTTTTTACACTCACGAGAGGTCGTCATGATGGTGTTTTTCATTCAAAGGGTGTTTAACATATACGCATCTAAGATATGGAGTAACTTTTTACACTCATGCGGGTGATATACAGCCGTTTTGCAGCATATAGGCGGCTGTCAAATGTGAGAGGTCAGGATTATAGGTTGTTTTATTTTAATAAGAGTTTAAGGTAGATTAAATAAAAAAAAATTATAAGGATTTCATACGCAATATATAAATAAAAATGGAAGATTTAATATTAAATCGGGATACATTCCGTATATTTTACCATTTCTTTTTTTTAATTATTTCATAACGAAATAAAAAATGTATGAAGTACCATTAATAATTATTCAGTATCACTATTGATATATAGATAAGTAGGTTTAATGATCACAATGTATAGGAAAAAACTTTTCACAACTGATGTAAAAGCAAAAAGGCAGCCGTTTTGCAGCTCTTAGGAGACAGTCAGATTTAAGAGCTCATGATGATGGTTCTTTTGCCTTAATGAGTGGTAAAGCTAGACTATCGAAAATCTATTCGCATGCAATTTATCATATGCAATTTATCATATGCAATGTCAAATAAAAAAATAAATTGCTATGGAAAGTTTAATTATTAAATGGAGATTCATAATTTACAATTTATTTATTTTTAAATAACGGGTATGAAAAATACTATTTTATTTTATTTTATATTTAATTCGTGATAATAATATTAATCTTGCTGAGTCACGCAAACAAGCTGCTCTGTATGAACTACCAGTTACATTTCTCCAGTTTCATAATTAGTATAGCTTGAAATAGATAAAGTGGGTTTAATCATCACAATGCCTAGCAATTAACTTTTCACGACTGATGTGAAAGCAAATAGCCAGGACCCTGGAGGCACTCAGATGTGATAGGTGATAATGATGGTCTGTTTTGCTGCAAAAAGTCTTTAAGCCTAATCTAAGATAGGGTTTATACGTGTCATTGTATGCATGAACAATGAATTGACTATTAAAATATGCAACCCTGCTATAGGTACCCCAATTGGTACCCCCAATTTGTACTCCAACCTGTTTTTGTGGCTCACAAAAGCCCACCTCAATAAATGAATTGCTTCAATTTAATGAGGTGCTTTTGTGAGCCACAAAATTTGGGTGGGGGTACAAATTGGGGGTACCAATTGAGGTACCTTTAGCATTTTTCTAAAACATAATTTGGCAACCTTGATAAGCAATTAAAAAAGGACTTGACAATTAAAATAAATCGATTATCGGCCACTCTTTCCACCAATCAAATTAGAATAATTATTTTTCGGGTAACAAAATACTATTTGTTTTAATATTTAATTGCTTTTATACGGAATAAGTGTCATACGGAGTACTACATAACCAGCAAAAAGGTGTAAGCTACAATGTGTAATTAATAAGTATCATACGTGGTAGTAAATATATCTCATAATAGAGAATTAGGTTTTGCTTTTAAAAAAATACATAAGCAGGTCTAATTATCACAATGTCTAGCAAAAATAACTTTATAGAACCATGTGAAAGCAAAAAGCAAAAACCATGGGCAAACAGACAGTTGCGAGATCATAATGATGGTTTATTACCCACAAAAGTGTTAAAACCATATCTAAAAGATATTTTGCAGGACTTATTGCATGCGTTAAGTGGATTTGACTTTGAAAATAACGTTTGGACCCTTGATGAGTACGGAGTAAATAAAAAGGGCCTGGCTATTAGACAAGTGAGCCGCCCTATGCACCAGTCAGGTTAGACAACGTGGTGGCTATTAGGTTTAAAACAATGATGATGATAGTGCGAAATACAAGGGAGATGCTTCAATATAAATAGAGTGTTCACCTACTTACTTTCTCAAGCTTTCCACATCAAGTACAAAGAAATAGCATTGAAGTTAATGTGCTGAGGTTTTTGGTGTACCTACATCAGGTAAAAATAAATTTAAAAGTCTTGAACTCAACCCATACTTAGCATTTATTGTGTCGAGTGCCATTAAAGGCTCAAGTTTCTCTTGACACATCAATATATAATGAATATTTTTTATGTAACTACCTTTAAAGGTTAATATGAAAATTTTATGCAAATTTCATAGTACATTTCATCAAATGTTTCTTCTGTAATTTTTTTACATCTAAAGTTTATTGAAAATCTAATCCGTACAGAAGAAAATGATTGCATGCATGCCTGCGTTTTATGACTAAAATTCTTATATATGTAATTTTGAAATTATGTGTAGAGAAAATGGGGAAAAAACTTTTTCCAAATGTGATTTGTAATGTCTGCGGCAGCAGTGAATGGGGGCATCTCATAGTGAAGTGTGTTGTATGCACAAATGCACAACATCGGTACTGCATGAGGGAGGTGTCTTTTGATCTTGATCTTAGGTGGATGTGTGAAGAATGTGTAGATAATGTTCACCGAATGGCTGAATTGGACTCTTTTGGCATGATCCCTGAGATTAAGCGTGAGTTTGGAATGGCTGATGATCACCCATTTCAGTTTCATGTGAAGGAAGAAATTCCGGAAATGGTTGATGTGCAGCCATTTAAAACAATGGTGAAAGAAGAAGTAGAAAACCCTGATTTCCAGCCATTAGCATCTCAGGTTGAAGCAGAGATGGTTTTGATGGCTGATTCCCACCCTACAGAGGGCGTGGTAGAGGGTTTGGAGATGGCAGATAGCCCCTCCACTCCCAGGCGTTCTCCCCGAAAGAAAAAGCTGAACAAGAAGTATTTTGATGGGGAGATGGTGGTCACAATGGACTTTAAGTGGCTGACTGGGGAGGTTGAGGTTTAAAATGGTGGTTGATGCATGGCTAATGTAATGTACTTATTGTGATGGTTAATCTGTGTTTTGTATGAACAGGAAGGAATATCTACTGTACTTAGTTTTTGTTAAGCCATATTTTCCACTTAGGTCATGCATGGCTTAAGTTCTGGACTT